TAGAAAACTACTTATTAATAGTAGTATTAATCGTATCAAGCTACTAAACATATCCTCAACCGAAAACTTTTAGAAGTAGTTCATATGGTATATATGTATAGCCAGTCTACGTGAAAAATGTATATAAATATATAAGAAGTACAGCCAACATAGTTAATTAACCAGAAAAAGAAATTATAAAACTCGCCTGGGTTGCTTTTTGAATTCGTTGTATTTGCCAGTGTTAGTTGTATGAGTTTGATTAAAATCCTCAGCCATCGTTTCGGAATACCTAGCTTATGTGTCCAGTATTTTAAAAAAATATTTAACATAACACGTATATATCAAAGGTAAAAGGTCTGGGGAGTTGTCGGTGAGGCGGAATGAGGAAAAAAATTATTTTTAAGTAGATGCAGGGTGTGATTAGCTGCGTGGTTAGATTTTATCCTGCAGCCGAAACTGTCAACATCCTTGACTGACTAATTGGATGTGCCCAGCGAACCGTTTTAGTCATTTGTAAAGATTTATTATCTTTACATTTCGATTCCGTAATGGATTTGTCAGTTAAACGATCTAACAACACGTATGGTGGTTCATGATCTAGATAAGCCGGCTTTAGCCTATCAATACTTACTGTGTCGATGTTTCCATGTTTTTCTATCACGAAATATTTAGATTTTCTTGAGACGACTTTGAAAGGACCTTCAAATGGAGGACTGAGTGGTGCTTTTATTTTGTCACATCTTATCCAGACGTGCGTGCAATTGCTTAGGTCTTTAGGTATATATACGGCGCGCGATTGTTCACGAGTATTAATCGGCTTAATTTTAGACATGTGGTCCCGTAGTTGATCTACATAATTTTCTAAATTAAGTTTTTGACTGTTAGTATTAGGGTTAATAAATTCACCTGGTAGTCTCAGAGTTGTTCCGAAAACCAGTTCCGCAGCTGAACACTGTGCGTCAGTTTTGACAGATGTTCGTATTCCCAACATAACTAACGGTAGGAATTCTGTCCACTGATTGGGGTTTGAGTGAGATATAAGGGCGGTTTTTAGCTGACGGTGAAAACGTTCTACCATCCCATTAGCCTGAGGATGATATGCAGTGCAGCGTATCCTATTGGAGCCTAGAAGTTTAGCCAAGTTATTAAATAGTTCGGATTCGAATTGCGCTCCTCTATCCGTCGTTATTGTTATGGGTGTACCAAAAATGGTTACCCAGTTCTGCATGAAAACTTTGGCTACTGTTTCCGCTGTGATGTCCGCTATCGGGATGGCTATAGGGAATCTGGTAAATCGATCTATGCATGTAAAAAGATAATTAAAACCGTTTGAACGTGGTAAAGGACCTACCAAGTCGATATGCACATGGGCAAAACGTGCATCTGGTTGCGAGAAAACACCTATGGGTGAATTTGTGTGACGATTAATCTTTGATTGTTGACATGCTGAACACTCTCTAACCCATTTGTGTACATCCTTCTGTAAATTCGGCCATATATATCTGGCATTGATTAGTTTTGTTGAAGCTTTCGCGCCAGGATGAGACAAAGAATGAAAGTTATTATATATCAACTTTCGCATATTTTTGGGAACGAAAGGTCGCGGCATTGCCTTGGTCGTGTCACAATAAATTAGAATACCATCGATAGGTGATGGGAATTGTTTTAAATTAAGACTTGAATTGTTTGTTTTAAGTAGGTTTTGTAATTCTAGGTCCTGCTCTTGTTCGTGTCTCAACGTCTCGAAGTTTACTGTAGACTGCTGTAGCACGTTCATTTCTAGTCTGGATAAAGCATCTGCCGCCTGATTGTCCTGACCTTTGACATGTCGGATATCGCTTGTGAACTGTGATATATAGTCAAGGTGTCGGACTTCTCGAGGTGAGTATTTATCGGCTCTCGCTTTTAATGCATTCGTCAGAGGTTTGTGATCCGTAAAGACTATAAATTCCCTACCTTCTAACATGTGTCGGAAGTGTTTAATGGTCAGGTAGATTGCAAGAAGTTCTCGCCCGAAGGTAGAATACCTTGTTTCGGCTGGAGCGAGTCTTTTCGAGAAGAAAGCAATTGGTTTCCAGGCGTTTTTAACCAGTTGGTTAAGGGTACCGCCTACTGCTTTATCTGAAGCATCCACCATCAAAGCAAGTGGGGAAAGAGAATTCGGATATATCAACGTAGTTGCTTGAGCCAGTTTATCTTTAAGCTGTTTAATAGCTTCGATGGCGTCAGAAGACAGTTTGAATTCTTTTGGTTTTCCTTTAAGTGAATCTGTCAAAGGTTGCATTAATTGTGCACAACCTGGTATGAATCTGCGATAAAAGTTAATTAGGCCTAGAAAACTTCTCAGTTGTGTTAGAGAACTAGGTACGGGGTATTGTTTGATGGTATCCACTTCTTTTTTGATAGGTTTAATCCCTTCTGGGCTTATTGTGTGACCGAGAAATTCTAAAGTTTGAACACCGAAAACACACTTACTTTGATGTATGTTTATTCCATGTTCATCCAGTCTTTTCAACACTGCTTGTACATGCTGTTCGTGTGATTGCAAATCGGGGCTGGCAATTAACAAGTCGTCTATATACCCCTGCGCAAATGGCATATCTCGAAGTAGGTTATCTATGAATCTTTGAAATGTCTGTGCCGCATTTCTCAGGCCGAATGGCATGCGTACAAACTCGAATAAGCCAAAGGGTGTAGTAATAGCTGTCTTGGGAATATCTTCATCAGCCACCGGGATATTGTGATATGCCCTGACTAAGTCAATTTTAGTGAATATGTTCATACCCTGTAAACCGTTGGTGAAATCTTGGATATGAGGTATTGGGTACCTATCTGGTACGGTTTGACGGTTTAGGGCTCTGTAATCCCCGCACGGTCGCCAGTCACCTTCATTCTTCTTTGGGACCATATGCAAAGGGGATGCCCATTGACTATCAGAGGGACGGATAATACCCAATTGTAGCATATAATCAAACTCGGCCCTAGCGATTTTGAGCTTATCTGGTGCTAGTCTCCTGGGTTTTGCAAACACCGGTGCACCTTCGGTTTTGATAGTGTGACTTACTTTTAGTTTGTCTTTAGAAGGCTGTGGGTTTGGTTTAGTTAAGTTTGGAAATTCCGCGAGTATATCTTGGAATTTCGCTGTTGTTACTGGGGAGTTTGAATCAAGTTAAGAGAGCTGATGTGACTTTCTTTGCCTTTTGTGTAATACGAAGTTTCTTTTAGTGTTAATCGCCGTTTCTTGGTGTCAACTAGAAATTCGTATCTCTCTAGAAAGTCCATCCCCAGTATTGCCAGATCTAAGTCGGCTACCGTGAAAACCCAAGGGAATTGCCTCCTGAACCCCAAATCTAGGGTTAAAGTTTTCTGCCCAAATGTCGCAATTTTAGTTTTATTTGCAGCTTGAAGTGTAATTGATGATGTTTCTCGACTAATCTCAGTTTTATTTTGAGGGATGATGCTAAGAGCAGCGCCAGTATCCACCAAGAAATTCAAGCCAGAGTTTCTGTCTCTAACATAAAACAAGCGACTGTTTAGGCGCCCCTCCTCAGTCGTCGCGACCTGGGGAGGGGTTACTCGTTTCCCGCTGTCTTAGAATTATGCTTAGGCCAGGCGCATGGTTGCATGCACTTGGTTGAGTTGACACCAAACTTCCAGTGGTACCAACAAAACTGCCCAGATTGTCTAGACATTTGTGACCTGTTTTGTGACTTGGATCGTGGTCGTTGTGGTGACCTGCTCCTGTTTCTATGACCCATTTGCATTCTGGTGACAGCCTCAGTGAGACTCTTAACACTCGCAATGAGTCCTTCTATTACGGGGTCTTTTGCTGATTCTACTTTTTGTGTGTGATTTATTGTGCCTGATCCAGTTGGAGGACCTCTTTCCATTATTCTGTCGGCTATACGCGCTAAATGAGATAATGAGGTTTCAGGATCTTGTGCATCCAAACAGTGTTGGACGTAGCATGGGAGAGCTTGTATCCATCCTTGTTTTAGGACTGCTTCACCCATGTTGATTTAGATTCGCGATGCACTTAGTGAACGTGTAGAATCTAACCACTGACGTGTTTTATTGGTTAAGTTGACTAGAGAGCGCCAAAGAGCTTGAATTGCGATTCCACTGTTATATCTACCAGACTAGCGGCACTGGTTGACCAATCTACGTTAGCCATCCATGACCACAATATCCAACGATCATTCATCAGTTATCTATGGGGTGTGTGAGTTTAGCTTGATAAACAATCTGGCTAGGGTTCAGCACAAAGCAACACCTAGGAGAACATCACTTACGAGTAAAATATAGGAAAGCGTTCACAAAAACACAAGCAAATGTTTTCATGGTAACAGTATAAGTCACATCGTTGATTCGTAGAATGGATGTTAACAAAACTTCTGAGTAATTACATTATAAGAACGCTAGACATTTACACCCCGTCCAAAGGTACGGAGTGGGATTATTTTAGGTGCTCTATCACAGTTCTTCCTACTAATGAGTATTCAGTTTCTAAAGGATTTGTGGACGACATACTCCCATAAAAAATAATCACATCCTTGAGATCAAGTGTAGCTTGAAAGAACAGTCAGTTTGACAGGTCTGATCAAAAATTGTGGAGTTCTTAATGGTTTGATTGGAGAATTTTCCAACTTCTTGTCGAACTGTCAACAAAATGCACACGGGGATATTTTCGTGATTAGAATTCTTAAACTGTGGAAAAGATAGTGAAGGTCACATTATTTTGATTTCACTCAAAGAAAACTCAATGTTTATTTTTCTTCCTAAGGTGCTAAGGGAGACTACTCTAGGTACTATCTCTTGATAACTCCTATATTTAACCACTGTTTTTATCCTACTAGAATCACGACTTTCAGTGACACAAGCATCACTTATATAACAGCGACGGACGTATTAAGTGATTGCAGTTTTCCGGCTCTTGGAATCAAAGTATGAGAGTTTGAGTGTTTGAAGCTTGAGGTTAAGATGTTGTCCTTGAGTTTGAAAGGCTGCTCACTACTCTGGCGGGTTTTTGAATGGGTTGGTTTTGAGCTTTGATTGGTATATCATATTGAACCTTCCACATAGTATATTGGCAACCCACTGTGCAGAAGTGTTTGACAGTGTGGTTGAGAAAAATTAATCAGTCTGTGTTAATTCTATCACGATACTAGACATCAATACTTTCCTTAGATAACTAGACATCAAGGATAGGATTTAATGTAGAAAGGACAGAGCAAAAAGTCGATTGGGACCCAAGTCGGTCACTTTGCATGTCCTTACAAGTTCATTTATTTCAAGAAGGCGACTGCTATAGCAGCCGACATAAATAAACATGAACAAACGCGTAATATTAAAGCTGAGTATGATGTTTACCTGCAAATGACGTGTTAATGTGCTTGTGGAGTTGTTGGTGCATTCACTTCTAAGTAGTTCTACTAAATGCTTATGTAATTTACAGATATAGATACATATATATGCTTATATGCATTTGCTGTATCTGATGACTTGTCTTGGCAATTAGTTCGAGGTTTATAATGGTTGATAGCTTAGGTAAGAGTTATGCGATCCAAGTCAGAGCTTCCGAATTGTTTATTTCGCATGTTTTTCAGACCCTATTATTTCTGGGTCCTATCTTTATTTACTGTTTATCGAGTTAATTAATTTATGTGCTTTGCATCCTCACGTGTCACCTGTGGTGGTACTAAAAAAATCGTAAATGTATGTATCTACTCTCGCCATATATGTGAAACTAAAATTCTACCGCATTTCAGATCAAAATTTTGTGTGGTGTTGAACTGATACAAGGATTCGTAAGTAGAAATATACCCTATCGTTCGCAATGAGGTTTAGTCGTTCTATTTTTTTTGTTCATTTTTGCGATCCCAATCCTAAGTTTTTGCGGTTTATGTGAAATCGATCATCATTTAATACTTATTTTCTATTTAGTTCATGGTTGTTTCTTCAGTGTGATAAATATTTGTTGCTAATTTACATTTATAGAGCTGGTCAAACTGAATTCTTAATCCTGATAACATTCCATTCTTTTGATCTATCACGACCTCAAATGGTTAGTATGTCAAGTCTTTTTGGCGAGATCTGTCAATTATTTTGTTGTCCCCCCCGACCTTCTCATATCGTGGCGAAATTGGCATTTCTACCGCCACCACCAACTTATTCTATCATATCATCAGCGAATGATTCCACATGTTGCATTGAGTTCAAACCTGAAGCTGGCTGGCAAATATCCGAGGACATAAAATCCAAGTTAACGGTAAGTGATTATCATATTCTACCATTTATTATTCTTGATGACCTTAGTCTCTTCCAGATAGTCCCTGATGGCATGGTCTTTATTGTTCTGGCATGATGTTTATGGCTGTATTTTTATTTTGTTTACCTTAGTTTTTGTTTTTTACTGCCGTGAAGTGTTCCAAATGAATATTGTTAATTTAAATCATGAAGCTACACTTGATAATCAAGTCGTGTTCTTGTGCTTGGTATTGATTTGATGAAAACATGTGCAATACTCTCGAGTATTGAAATACAGACAAACTAGTTTTATTCGCAGTTATCTCGAATTAGAATAACTTTTTAAATTCAAAACCTTCCTGGATGGTTCATGTTTTTTATTTGAAAATTATCAGATCAAACTAATAATAACTTTTTGGTTGTACAGAAATAACAAGTCCCGAATAATATTTTGCTAAAATTTTTTGTTAATTTAGATATGTGGTAGGTACTTAACTGATAGGTATTAGTTTAGAACGTTTTTACCCATTTTTATTCCGGACAATCCAAGCAGTTTTTCAAATTTTGAACGTGGTATTAGGTTAAATATCGATAAGTTAGTTAGTGGGGATGCACTTTCTCAGTCTATATGTTAGTGTTAACCTAGAACCTCGAATGGTGGGGTGGATGAAGTATAGTTATAGTGTATTGTTATAAGGACAACTCTCCCCATACGGTCTCGGTCATTTCTTTGAAACTTTTAATCGTTAAGGTGTTATTGTTGTTTAACAGATATATAGTGCCAGTATTAAAATAGTTTTCAACTTACAGATTTAAATATAATACTACTATACGTTGGTTTAGGCACTTGAGTAGTATAGATAACTAAAAAAATCTGTTACTCATCCCTGTACATTAATGAATTTACTTGGATTAAGTTCATTGTTATTATTACCAGTGTTTTTACGTGACTAATCAAATTAGCGTTGATAAAGATGGTCTCGAACTCGCAACTTAATGATTAATCTGAGTGCTTAGAAAGCCTAGCTACAACTTTTTGGGGTACTGATTCATGCTTCTCAAATATACTGATATGTATAAAAATTGGCCTATTCTACCTAACTTTCACATTATCAAATTCGTTCCAAAACGAAAAGCAATCATACGAAGTTTGAGTGATTTGGTTTTCGTCTTGTTGCTTAGTACTCGACCTTACTGTTATCCATGACCAACTTAACAACTTGGTTGTGAGAAATGCGGTGTCTCGAATGATTGCTGTACTCAACTGTATCGTAAAACATGATATGAAAGTTGTGTGGGTGGATACTTACTCGATCAAATTTACGTATTCGGTTGTTAAAAGTCGAGTGATTCAGCGATTGGACCACCGTCCTTCGTTCTTTGGTGAGGGCTCTAAACATCCTGTCTTTAGTTTTCTTTCTGTTTATGATCTTAGGGTCATTTGTATCTTAGGTGTCCTTAAACGGAATCAGCGTTTCATCCTAATAGATTTCAAAGACACTCACATTACGATATATTCACTTTGACCTTATTGATCTGGGACTTTGTCGGTGCTGATGATTTTGCAAGTATATTGTTACCTTTTACTCTATTCCTTTAGGTTTTCTATACTTTGACAAAGCGTCAATCTCGAATTGTTTGTATGCATATCCCAGCGAATTCTGTTGTCTCACCTTCTCAATTCTCGTCAAATATATCCTCTCGTCGTGGCCTTTCTGGTCAATCAAGAATGAGAAGTCCTGCACTTAGTGTTAGTTGTCCAACTCTTACAGACGAAGGTCGGTTCGGATCAGTTCAACCTAACTCACCACATCAACCAACTTATACGGTATTATTCAGTCATGGAAACGCAGTTGATATTGGTCAGGTATGTTTATCAAAGAGAAAAATAACAGTAATCTATTTACATACGAACCAACTCTGAAATACTAAAAACCCGGAATATTCTGCTTATGACCAGACTTTCCAGATTAGCAGTTTACTTATTATAGCATTTGACTTCAATCTATTGGATTAAGAACTTTAATCCTGTCCTACTCATTGGGGTTAGATCGTCAAGTTACGGTATATATGGTTAATAGAAAAATTTGGTAGCTGGACTGTACTGTATTTTATGAAACATATCGTATTCCACGTCAAATTATATTTGTCGGCTTTCCTTCTATTTTTGGAAAAATGAATTTTATATTAATGTAGAGTTAATGATGAGTGGATTAGATGCGAAAATGTGGCTTAAAAAGTTGCATAAGTAGGACATTTCATTTGGTTATCACTAACATCTGTACACAAAGAGAAAACAAACGTACAGATTGTGAAGAAATTGATCTAAGGTATTTGAATGTTGAGGATACACGAAGAATGAATTGTTTGATACTCTTGTGTAATGTATTTCGAATTACTCCATCAAGAGTTTCTTAGCAAATTCTTGTGAACCTTGAAAAAACAAACCCAGAAGCATCCCTCCTAATAGCTGAGACATGGAGTTAGCGATCTCTAATAATAAATATTTTGATCAGTGGTAGTCTTACTCCATGTTAGATCGGACATTAGTATAGACTAGCTCAGAATTCATAACACGCTCTAGCTCCCCTACTCAATCCTGATTAGCAGGTTCATCGGTTAATTTAACTAATTTTGGATTTAACCACACACCAAATATCAAAGTTACGGTTTTTATTCATTTCCTATTTCAGTCAATAGTAATCCGTTTTGTTATCCCGCATATGAACAGAATTAAAAGTAATTATTTCAGTTTAGATTTGTATATATGTGCATTTCTTCTAACTTGATGATTTGACATGTTAGCAAACTGGCATATTCTCATTCAGTTTGAAATTACATAACCTAGTAACCTGAAAAGTAAACTTTCTTTCACTCAATTGATTTTTTGTTTAAGTGCTGATTTATGTGTTTTCTGCTTTTAGTCTTTCATCTAAAAATATAGAAAGATATCTATTTTTGGAATGCATTTATCAAATTGTCTCTCCTTACATTAAAGTCCACGTTCTTTTTAACGAGTCACGTGTAGAATTTATGCATTTACATGTTTTTGTTCTCGATACAACAGAGTGCTCTAGTTTAAGTGTTCACATTCCTTTGAAAAGCTATTCATTAGTATTTGGTGATGTAATCTAATTCATTGGAGAAATTTCGTTTTACAAGTAAATATTAGGCAAAATTAGCGATGGGTCTATTGCTTCATCCAACGCCTTCGATAACTGATAACGGTCCTGATGAGAACACTGATCAGGTAGTCTGTATCCGCCAGCATGGCTCTAACCAGCGGTTAGTGAATTCACGGGATAATCCAACTTTTCAGTTTGGCCGCCTCTAGCTTTCTTCAAGCCTACTTCTATACTAGCAGCCGTCGCACACATTTACCTAGTATTGTGGTAAAGTACCGTAAATCATTGCATTGCTTGATAGTGGTTGTATTTTCACTGTGGTTATCCTGCATTCTTCCATTTTCTCTATGGAGGAAATGATTACAGGAGCTATTTTCGCATCTTGGTTCCCAGCAATCCCGTGAATCACTTGAAATTCCCATAGTATAGGCCTAATGCATCATCTGTAAATGCAATGATTCAAAAAGTACATTTAAAAGTACAATATAGGGTTTAATTATACAAACTGTTTATGTTTGTTGGCCACTGGGTATTGGCCAATGTTGTGTTTGTCTGTTCCTTAATGAAGATCGAATCTTATCGATCAAATTTCATTGTAACTAGTCGTTTGTGACTCGATATCGTATGGGCTATGTTCTGATCTTAGGTCGCTGGTGGTAGTCTAGAATAAACCGTGAACCTATTTTTTGCACTAGTTAGCACTCGTTAACAAGGTTTACTCACACTCTTGGAGGAACTGGTACTTTTGTAATTCCGCGTCAACCAGCTTCACAGATTACAGGATACATATTGTTGAGTGCAACCAATAAGGAACCTAAATCCAAGGTTTCCTGTAGACTTTTTAATAATCTAACTTTAAAACCTGTAAATCATTCCTAATGAATATTTTGTTTCCACCAAAGTTTATGAATGTCTTAGGACTAATTTTCAGCAAAACCTAGTTTAATATTAAAGTGAGGTAATCATGTAGTGTACTGACGTAACCAAACGTATGAAGAATCACACACGTCTGTCTTCTCTATTACATGATCAATTAGTCATAAAATTGGTTTAAAGTTCTAGATTTTCTGTCTTTCATTTATATTTATATAATTCTAATAAGAGCTCCTGATATTTAAACAGAAGCTTCACCCGAACTGTACAGATCTAGTCCTTGTCATGTTATATGTTGTTGTTTTATCGTTCATCATTATCTGTGTATATGGTTATTTAACGATTGTGTGCCGCATTTAATGTCAAACAAGCATACACCAATATATTATTAATTATTAAGGCAAAAAGTTGTCACATAAAATTTGACCTAATTGATGTTAAGTTAATTGCTTTAGATCGATATTTTCATGCCCTATGTATTTGACAGTTGTAACCTAAAACCAATTATTCTTGTTTGTTTTCTAATTGCTTATTCCACCCTCTTTTTTTCCTGTCAGATGGCTGGATTTCTTCAGTCACTAGCATATCGTTTCAGTGTAAATATCTTATGCTATGATTATTCAGGTTATGGGGGAAGCTCTGGTCAACGGTTAGAAGAGAATTTATATGCTGATGCTGATGCAGTATTGAATGAATTACGTGAACGATTTAATGTGCCGCTTAATCGGATTGTATTATATGGACAGAGTATTGGGACTGCTCCAACAGTTGAATTAGCGACTAAATATAAAGTATGTTTGTTTCAATTTGTGATATATATATGAGTACATACACTTGAGAATGTTAGTATTTTTGACAGGTTATGAATGAAAATTTTTGTATGTTTCAATTGTGAAGTTTGCCTAAATTTAAGGCGTTTTAATCGTTTGTTATAATACAGTAATAGACATATGTGCAAGCCAACTACTTGATTGTTTAATTTGATTAGAATGATAACAGTTGTATGAAAAAATTAGTTCTATCTTAAATCCTTTTTTTCCCTCCATCTAATTGTATAACTATGCAATAACAACCATTTATCAATATATTTTATTAGTGGAGTAATTGTTGATAGATTTGAGTAATATATCAACGTAGAACATCTCAGAGAAGTTTTTCCGTTTAAGTTGTTAAATTTTACTTACACGCAAAATGGTTGAGGTTGATAAGATTAAGATTGCATTTAAATAAACATAGGTTGAAGAGGAAAGTTAAATAAGGAGTAATAAAACATTTAGTATCTTAACGGTAATAAGAAAGGTGGATGAGTTTTAAGTCATTGTGATTAATTCTAGAAATAATTTCTTTGTTATCTTGAAAACTGATAAAATAACATCATACAGGTGAGTTGTTCTGTCAGTTCAAAGTTTCTTTTGTAATTTAACTATTAATATGAGTATTAATTTAAAGAATGGTTTACCTATTTGTAATCTGACGTAAATACAAACTTTGATCCTGCAAATCTTATAATGGAATACTACATACTGTTATACAAAGTATTCCTTAGTACCTGTATTTATTGGATGGTAGTCAGTAGAAGTTGGTTCGGTGACAATGTAGAGTCTGGAACAAATGTATCTCAAGTAAATTCGCCGCATCTCATATCATAAGATTGATGAGGTGGGGATAAAGGATCTTGACATATCACATGCCGGTGACCATGTGCTATCTCAGGGCCAAACGTTAGGCAAGAGTTTGTACATAAGGCACAATATTGAAGAACGCGGATTAATCACCTAGTCAAGGTTTCAGTCTGTATGTCCTTGCTTGGTTCAAAAGAAGACGTATATATACCTATGATTTTTGTAAAATTGATTCGATTTATTAATTGACGGTTTCTTGTCATTTCTTGGTCTTCGCAGTTAGTAATTCTAATATCATCCATTACTGTTGAAGCTTTCATACTTTCGACCTATGTAACCCTGTTACTTATCGCTTAATAAGATTGATAATTAGAAAAATTATATCATTGGTCGATTTTGTATTAAAGTCGATATAAAAGACAGTTTACGCTATGATTGCCTCATTAAGAACTATGAGCTCTAACCATCACACTGTTACTAACTTAGATTCGGGCCGAAACGTAGTCTCATCCGCAGATAATTTATTTCTCGACATGTCGTTTCTTATAGCGTTTCCATCACTGGGAGCTATAAATTACGCACCAAAAGAATTTGAAGAGGCATAACATATTTTTTCGGCAAATTTTTCAAGCAAATAAATTGTTTATTTAAATGAATGAAATACAGAAGATTCTGAAAATCTTGAAAAATTTTGTCAGTATCTTCTGGATGAAAAGAAAATAATATGATGTGATGTTTCTTCGTCCACGACTATTCAAACAAATTGACAAATCGTTTTCTTAATGTTATCAGTTTAGACGGTATTTATAAATGAAAATATGTTTCTCGACATGAATTTAATGGTAATGTTAGTTTGTTTTATCTTTATCCGGTCAAGAAACATTCTTGTTGGTAACCTAATTTCTGTATTTCTTCAAGTAGTCAACAAACAACCTGAAATTTTTTGAAATAGTGACAAATAATTCATCTTCAATCGCTGCAACAACCATGAAAACGTATCTCGACCCACATCACTCATTATGTCATGTGGACATAATAATAGTGCATTATCTTCAACTTTAAATGGAATTGGTTGAAGTTAGACATTAACACCGTTGGATGCCGGCTCAGTGGTCTATTAGTTAAGTGCTCGCGCGCGAGGTCAGTAGGTCCTGGCTTCGAATCCCGCGGGGTGCAGGATCGTGGATGCGCACTGCTGAGGAGTCCCATACTAGGACGAAACGGCCGTCCAGTGCTTCCAGGTTTTCCATATTGGTCTACTTTCACTTGACTCATGATTTCAACCTGTGAAATTAAATGGAATTGCTGAATTCGCAATTTGATGTTATGCATATGTTCTTCATTTGTTTTACATAAAAAACGTTGATAATCCACTGAGTAACATACTCTTTCAATGAACCTACGTATTATGTTCACATGATACTATAGGTGATATGAATTGAGATATAATCAAGTGCATAATTGGAAAGTATGAAGGGTTTTTCGCTATTAACGCTGTGTGAGTGATTAGTAAATTGAAGTCACAATCTTGTTGACATTATTTTAACACTTTTGCCAAGCTTATAGGAAGCGCATGTATTTGCACCTGAATCGTATGATAATGAAACGTTAAATAAATTAGCTAGAAACCAAAAAGAACTAGCTGAAGAAATATGAATATTGAGTTAGTCATACGGAATGTGATGTAAAAGGAGAAAATTAAATTTCAGAATTCATATCATGTAGTGACATTCAGTTCAATAATGGTGCGTCTACTATGGATTGTAAAACGGCACAATCCACGGGGATAACAGTCATCACAGTGGATCTCAATCCATTAAATATACACTTTTCAACATGGCTCAGCCCGACAGTTATTGATCTCAGCATAGCCTAAAGTAAGACGTGTACACAATTGGATGTCGAGTCAGTAGTCTGGAAGTCAAGCGTTCTAAGAGAGATCGAATGTCCTGGATTCGATTTCTTGTAGGTTTGTGGATGCCCAGTGTTTTCGTGTCCTATACTAAAACCAAACAGCCATCCGGTGCTTGATTTCTAATTATAGCTAAGTTAGGTCGGTTATCGATATCAAGAAAACGTCGGAAAATTCTGGACATTTCTTCATTTGGTCACTTTTAGATTCCATTTCAACCTATTCCTACGCCAGCTTTGTAGTTCATGGTATTTGGTGGCTAAAAGGCATATGTAGCATATCTAAATCATTTAAGTCGAATTACTATTTCAACTTAAAATAATGTGTTTAATCGTACAAGTGGAACATTGTTTTGTTCTCCTCAAAACACTTATGAAAGCGGAATAGTGGAGAAGATTTGTAGCTCAGGTGGATGATTTTGATGGGGTTTTGTTCTCTGAGCTGGATGGTTTAATCGTGGAGCTTTCATCGTTCTTCTGAACGACACTGTCGGCACAAACTTCAAGACCTCGAAGTCTACAGGACAAGTTGTGAATTACATGTGGAGAAATTCGAACACTTCACTTCTATCTGAAATTTATGCTGATGATGTTGTTCAGAAGAAAGATGAAAGCTCCACGACCAAATCATCCAGCTCAGAGAACAAAATTCCATCAAAATTTATAAAAGTTTCTTACTCATTGCTAGATTTCCAATCTTTGTATATATCTGGTTTAAACATATTGTCGTTATTATTCTTGTCAGTCATTCATAAATTTGTCTCTAACTTTTACAGTTTTTATTCAGTTGGAAAAAAAGTGTTCAATTTTATTGATAAAACCCGGTTTTATGTAATTTCGTTTGTGACATTTTCGTTTTAGTCAATCACTGTGTGTGTTTGTGTATGTATGTGTTTACCTCTATATTTCAATGTAGTTCAGTAGAGAAACAAAAAAAATTCATATCACAGAAATATTTACATGTTACATATGTAGGGTGATATACTTTCCATAATTTATGTATACCAACACACTTGTTGAGTAAATTAATTTCAGGTGAAATGAATACGAATTTTAGCGGAACTACATGTTATTTTGCTTTCGATTATAATTTCTACATAACAAGCATCAACTATTGTTTAACTACTATCGAATATATATATATATATATATATATATATATATATATATATATATATATATATATATATATATATATATATATATATATATATATATATATATGTAATTTGGTGTTGGTTTAATACAGGACCTGTATAACGTAAACTTGAAACTTAATGGTTAGAATTTGAGCGTTATAACAGTTACTTCACTTCCCCACTTGATTTCTGTGATCAGTTGTACCTTCATTTTTTCGTCCTATTTAGTCTTTCATCGATTAAATTTGTACTAATATATATACTCAAGTGGTATTTGTTTCTATTGCAGCTAAAAACTTAGCCAGTCATATGAGCTTGTTTTATATACAAACTCTAGAAACTAGTTAAATGAATTTGGTGAACAATCAACTAAATACTCATAAAACAAATAATTTTTGGATTGTCAGTGACTAGAAAACTTCGTCAACTTTGTAGTTGTAACTATTAAACTATTGTATGAACTAAGATTTCTATTTTATCTTAATCACACTTAAAACTCTGAACTGATAAATCGTTAGTATATTACTAGGATTTCCATTCATTGAGAAAATGTTCATACAATATTCAAATGGGTTCTAACTGTGATTGGATCAGTTGTATTTATTTTTTATTTTATTTAAACACATAAACATTGGTACAAGGAGGCACCAAATAGATATGCGCCACATGAATCATTCGATTTGTGTGAGGGCTGGGATACCGCCCGGGTGCCCAGACCGAAGCAGGTGGTTTTCTTAGGGGGCCCCACCCCGAGCCTTGCACCTAAAGGTCTAACCCACAAGGTAGTGGAGCATCGTGAGGAGATGCAGTCCCATGGTAGCCGGTGACCAACTATTGGTTCATACGCCATTTGTTCCTTCAGGACACTGGAGCCCATGTGCACCATTGGTTTGGGATGCGGTTAAAGCGCCGGACATTCCCTTTTCGTCCCGTCAATTTCGTAGACAACACCCCCGCCACGAGAAGGCAGTGAGTAGGATTTCCCTGGCAGAGGCTGTATACGCGTGGCCGTGTGAGAGCATTTCGAGAGTGAGGGCGGGCCCACTGCACTCTCGGCCATACCAGGGTATTTGGGGGCAATTGAAAGAATAAATATTACCATTCATCCATAACAACTGATATTTCGAATATTTGATCCTGTCTCTGTCATCACTGTTATAAAATGCTCATTATTAGTTATTGCCTAATAATAATAATAATAATTCGCGCGACCGAATTATTAACACAAGTACCGAATTGAATTAATATCAATACACAAAAAGAATACGAAATCGTCTAGCAAATCAATTTTTTTCTTCCTAATCAATTGACACGTAAATTACAAAATGTTAGACGCGTAAAATAAATACGAATTAGGCTTCATTTAATACATAACCAACTGCATGTCATACTCACTTGTCATTAAAATCAAGACATTGACTATCAGACTTCATTTTTACCCACCTTGTCATCATTACTGGATAACAGTTACTTCAGTGAATTACATATAGTGTATATAAATTGATGATAAAGCATTTGGCTGTTATTTGAATGTCAGTCTCTAAATGTCTTGGTACACCTAATGGTGGGATGAGTCCACTGTCCTTTTTCCCGAAAGCCTCAAAATCCTAAAGGGACAAATGGCTTATAAACGTAGTTTGGTTGCCAGCTATTATAGGTCTACATTTCCTGATGTTATTACACTGTCTTATAGATTACAGCTCCAGGTTAAAGGTTCGAACATTGGTCCACTAAGAATATCCTAAGGATATCCTGACAGCATCCCAGCCCGTCCATAAGTATGAAAGTTGTTCCCTCTTTTATTTCTTCACAATATTTTCCTCTTATTTGTATGGTACATACCTTTTTGATATCCATTGTACCAGTATGTATGTATATTAAATAAATAAAACTTACTTCTCTCTTGAAATCACGAATATTCATGGTATACATCTGTTGAAGTATTTTTGTTACACTTCTGTCTGAGTGTGTCAAGAAAAGAAAAGCGAGGTGCATTTTATCCTTTTTATTGTTTTATATTTTTAATTTATTTAAACGTTTAATTGGCATATGAAATAAGAAATTAGATTTCGTTGATTTTATGCAATTTATCATAAATCTCTAATAAAAATATGTATTAACTTCAGGTTGCTGGTGTAGTTCTTCATTCACCATTTATGTCTGGTCTACGCGTCGTCTGTCCTGGAACAACTAGACGTTTCTGTTTTGATCCATTCACGAAGTGAGTATCCCAACATGTCTTTTCTGCTTTTTTTCAAACTTTTTATTCTACCGATATTCTTTTTTTATTGTGCTCACGTTCATTTCCCTATCTCTTCACAACTTTATTTTTATTGTGTGGTGCATATTTATTTTAGTGCCCCATTGTATTAATGTTTATGTTCAAGTAAATAGATAAATAATATCTATTAACAGTTCACGTTTAGTTAAGTAGTTGTTAAGCATGCGTCTTATATATACTTCAGTCGATAAAAACTTGCGAACTCATCGGCTTATTTACCATGTTCGCCTAGTTCCCTACTTTCATCGATTATCTTTGTATTGACAATTTTTCTTCACTATAACTTAACCCCATATTATTTTGTAAATATATTTTCACCCTGTTTATTTTTAATCATATTCTCATTGCTTAGTCTTCGTATTTATTTCGCTTTATCTGCTACTAATGTTTCTGAATTGATCTCATGGTGTGGTGTAGTGACTTTGGCCAATGAACATATTTTCCAAGCTTCCTATTCATTAGTATTGTTGACTTTTGTTAGATTCCTATAATACAGATAATAATTTTCATTTATCCTGAAGTGTAATCATAAGTGTGTTACGTAATACTTATCAAAATGGCGTATAAACAATCATGTAGTCCTAAGAAATAATTATAAGCAAAAATGGATAGGGGCTAGCAGTGGAATCCAGGACGCGCGTTTCGTCCTGTTTGAGACCTGTCAGCTGTATGCACCTGCATTCCAGAGTTGATGTTCACTCCGGGACTCGAACCTTGTACCATTCGCTTCAAACGCCATCGCGTTATCCGCTTAGCTACTGAGTCCTGATAGCCACTTGTGCAATGGGGTAAAGTTTAAATTCACTTGGTATTGAACATCAACTCTTGGATGCAGGTGCATCCAGCTGACAAGTCTCAGATAGGACGAAACGCGCGTCAAACTAGATTCTACTGCTAGCCACTGTCCATCTTTGCTTATAATGCTTGTGAATTAAGGCAATATGCACAGTATGTACATATGCCAATAAAACACTGATCGATTGCAGTCCTAAACATGAATGGGAAGATTCAAGCAAAAAATACCAAGTGAATATAAAGAATATTTGTTTATTTAACATAATGATTTCTTGTCACTGACGTAACTGTCTATATTTTATGCTTCTGTACTTAGTGTAATAACGTTGATGTTTATGTCTGAAATGTTTTCCAACAGTCATATTTCTGTATCCTATCATTTTAATAAGCAAACTAACATGCAATCATTCATTGGCATACCACAATGTCCATAATTCTACTTCTTTATTATTAGTCTGTGATTTGATCATTCAGTTATCGAAGTAAACAATATGTATGTTTGTTTAGTAATGTTATAATAGTTCAGTAATTTACATATGAATGACAAGGGATATGTTGGTTTTTGTCATTCTGCATACATATCAACACACTAACAGAGATAAAATTCATAGGATGAAAAAGCAATTAGGTTGCAATAATAATATCAATAAGATAAAAAAGATTATTATCAGAGGGGGTTTTGTGAAGATTTTAGAAATTTCATTAGTTGAAATCATGAATCAATTGAAGCTTGACCACCATGGAAAAACCTGGAAGCGCTGGACGGCTGTTTCGTCTTAGTGTGAGACTCCTCAGCAGCGCATGCGAGAATGATAGGTCCTGGGTTCGAATCTCGCGGGGTGCGGGATCGTGGATGTGCACTGCTAAGGAGCCCCATATTAGGATAGGACGGCCGTCCAGCGCTTTCAGGTTTTCCATGGTGGTCTAGCTTCAATTGACTAATGATTTCAACTATTGAAATAAAAGACTAAACATGTTAAATTTTGAAGGGGTTTGTAATTTCGTGTTGTTGATATTTAGGGCTGTAATTGAGCAGTTTCTGTTGGGATATACTCATCGTTCTCAGTGGTTTGGCGTGATATATCGTTTTGCCATATTTAGCAACAGCGATCGATTAAGTATATTCTTAAATATCAACAATGGGAAATTATTAACTACTAATAATACTTTCATACCTATTGAAGAAGTTAATAGTTATCTGAACAAAGTAGCTTAGCGTTGAGCATCTGAAGAGAAATATACTAGGTTCAAATCTCAGTGAGACTATTAGCACTAGGTTATATGTACATTCAGCCACTGAGTTTCAAATGGGGGTTAAGACGCGTGTCGTGGATTCCACTAATAACTATCTATAATTCATATTTACTAAAAGGTGGTAGCTAACCGAGTTAAAAATAAATTTTAAAAAACATGATCTAACTGCAAGACCACGACTGAAATCGATGAAAGCATTTCGTTACTTTAAATATTATTACACTACTGGCCACCTACTACCAAATATACTATATATATATATATATATATATATATATATATATAAGAAAAAAAGCTATAGTTGGTATTAGCCTGGTCCTACGTTGCAGCTGATTGACTGATAGCTTTTGGACTATACCATAGTACAATCACTGCATAAAAGAAATATTCCTACCAAAATCCAGTCTTCAGCTTTCGATACAGCTTAAATAGAACTGATACCATGTCGTAATTTATTTATAACTAGCGTTTATTCAGTTTATTAAAAATATATGTTAGCCGAATATGCATAACAATTTTAATGCAACCACCGTACTTGATGGAAGATCATAGTTTTATCTATCCATTTATCATTTATGCACAGAACCTTAAATACGCATTACCTCTATATGTATTAGAGTTGTATTAATTATGTTATGAAATGAATCAACTATAGAATCTACTCCTACTTCTTAAAAAGTATACAATATGTAATTTTTTCTTTAACACTAAATGTAATAGAATCTTATGTGAATGTTTGTAATCAATCGTTTCGTGATTTACTTTACATCAAATCTATTCGTAGAAAAAATGCATGGTATTAATAATTCACACATTTCTGGTATCAAATGAGTGTTTATGCACTCTATGGATTACATTTATTAAATCTAATCTAAAAACTGTTGGGATTGGTTATTCATATTGTGGATTCTTACTTTTTATGTTACTGATGTATTGTTGTATTTAAGTTGTGCACAGTGAACTTTTTTCTTTTACATATTTAACATACTTTTCCTTTGTTCAGGCAATGAATAATAGTAATGATATTTTCACTATTTTTGGTTAGCTCTATAATAATAAAACACATGGAAAAACCTCGGGATTTATAGATATAGGCTTGTGGGATCACTAAGTGATCTAAGTTAGACGACTATTGGAAATCTGGAAGCGCTGGGCAGTTGTTTCGTCTTGGTTTGGGATTTCTCACCAGTGCGCATCCGCGATCCCGCATCTGAGAATCGAACCCAAAACCTTCTATCTAGAGCGTGAACGTTTAACCTCTAGACCACTGAGCCGGGATTCTCTGGTGTACATATCTAATTTCAATCAGTTCATGATGTTGCGGGACCAACTTCTGTTGTCTTCAGTGGGTAGCTTCCTCACACTCAACTCAGCTAAACTCTACTGGTCACGGTATTTATTTAATTTTTCAGTTAGTATATATTTCTTCAAACAAATACGATTCCATGTATTGAAAGGTTTTAAAAATAATCTAATTTAACATGTGTGTAGTATTAGGACTTAAGTTTACCTAAATATTAACTAATTGGTTGTTAGTTGAAATTTATGACTGATTTTTTTTACTTTGAAACAGTTCATCTTTCTCATGAAGTTGAATTATTATTATCAGTTGATAATGAACACATTTTCTTATTGTTATATCTCCAATTTCTATATGCTCACTCAATGGGATTATTAAATTATTGAGTCTGTCAATGATTAATTGCTTGCCACCCTACCCCCCACTACTAAGTGTTCTAGTGCTGATTGTCCCACTAAGCTTTCTGCCTCCAACTTCTCCAATTAGAGCACGAGAAAAACCGGATGATTTATTCTGTTTATTTATGGCTTGATAACATACATAAATCACATGGCAATAACTCACCATAAACAAGAAATCATAATACATACACAACTAGATCATTTGTAGTATAGAATTGAGTCTCAGATATTCATTATAATTATTAGAAATTTGTATTTTTCAATTAGTGAAAAAAATCAAATTAAATTGTTTCTACTATCTTTTTATTATTTAGTGTTAATAGTCATATCGAAATAATCATAAACCGCGATTTACAAAACTGCAGCTTATAATGTGGCAAATCTATCAATGTCATTTTATATGATGTATTTCTGTATCGTCGAATGAATGAATTGATAAAGATAACAGAAATGTGTAGATTGTTTGATTTGTTTAGTGTAATGAATTCTGAAAATCAGCATATGTTTATGATGTATCGAAAAAGAATTTCCTATGACATTTATGTTGACAATGTTATTATATAAGAAGAAAAAAGTTTGTGTTGAAGCCAGGCCATATTCTGTATTATCCCCTCATTCCTTATTCAGACAATTTGGATTCCTTTGATGTAAACTCTCTCTTTACGAATGTACCATTAACAAAGACGGTGGATTTCCTTTGTGGCTATATATCTACCAATTTTCTCCTTTTTTCTATTCGGTTACCATTGTTGAAAGAGTTACTTTTATTATGCACTGCCAATGTTCGATTCACGTTTGATGGTGAATATTTTCGACAGGTTAATGGTGTAACTATGGGTAGCCATTTGGGGCTCCTCTTAGCTGATGTATTTATGTCATATGTGGAAAATATGACGAGCGAGCTCATTAGTGAGGCAACTTTATATAGGAGATACATGGATGGTATTCTAATTATATGTAATAAATATTTCGATAGACTCAAAACAATATTGTGATGACATATGAAGCAGAAAAGAATGGCCTTTTTAGACATACTTTAAAGTCGAAGGGAGTATGGCACTATAAGACAGTCAGTGTATAGGAAACCAACATGGACATGGCAATACTGAAATTTCCATAGTTTCTGTCCATTGCAATACAAGCGAGGCTTGATTAAGTGTCTCTTTAAGAGGACTCAAAGAATTTGTACTTCTGACACTTCCGGAAAAAGATAAAAAGTTACTGACTGGCACATTAATAGCAAATGGTTATCTACTAAAGTTTATTAATAAGTGCAAAAGTTAATGCCAAGACCTCTTGTTTATTCAGTTCCAAAATAAAAAGTTTATATCCATCTACCATATATAGGTGAATCCAACAGTATAGTTTTAACCAGAATGGGTTTTGTGGAGAGTTTAGAAATTTCACAGGTTGAAATCATGAGTCGATTGAAGCTAGACCACCATGGAAAACCTGGAAGCACTGGACGGCCGTTTCGTCCTAGTATAGTTTTAAGACAGAGACTGAAAGCAGCCATAGAGAAAACCTATTATACTGCTCAATTGGTTGTGATTGAAAAGTCTAAGCCCATGATTCCAGAGAGACCTAGACAACGCACTAATGATTACGTCACATCCCATTGTATTTACCAATTTCCATGTTTGTGTGGACACATACATAGGGAAGAGTAATCGAACAATGCAATCAAGGGCCCGTGAACATGTGCCTAGATGGCTTCAAAATCATTGTTTGTGAAATGATCCGATCAACGTAGGAGGTAGAAAATCAGGTTCATCGAAAGCGAATCACATAATTGAAACGGGGCACAAAATTGACATTAGTACAGCTTTTAAAACTTTATATAGAAATTGTCAAGGACGAATTCTCAAGTTTATTGTAGCCTTGGCTATTCGGAAATTTAAACCTCCCCCGCCTTATGTGTACGAAAACAATTTGTCGTAACCTTGAATTTACCCTGGTAATCCTTAAGTCATTCTATGGCCTAGGATAACGCGACAATTTCTTATTCTTTCTATACGACGTAAAATTGTTTCTCTCTCCTTTGTTGCTTTTTTACTTGAACCTTCATTTAATTGACCTTTATTAATTTAAATATAAAACGCCCTGACAAGTATGTGTGACCAGATTGCTCGAAATGTATAGCTCAAGTACATCACATTTTTCAGATCAACTCCGTCTTCTCATTGTTCTATCGAAATTTGGGTTCCATTTTGTGTGAGCTGCTTCTGCTATGAAATGTGTTTTTAAAAAAAATTATTTTTAAATTTTTTCTGAATAATCTCAATATCATCAAAGTCAGTCTTATGGCATAATATTATAGTGTGTAAACCTATGGCTGGAGATATTCCACGTTTTTCAAGCTCTGTTGGATTTCTCGGTAGTTGAACAGGTTGAGTTGTTGACAAAAAAAAGAAAAACCGAACATCATCTACAAAATAAACTGTTCCAATTGCGAAAAACTATGGCAGACAAAGTGAACGCTTCTTTTATCTTCGCCTTCATGAACATCAATTAGCGGTCAAACGCCATGAAATATCTTCACTTTTACCAATTCATGTGAACAACTGCGGATACATATTCAACTGGGGAAATGTTAGGATCTTGGGTAGTGGATTGCTAAGGACAGAAGGGGACTTTTAGAAGCTCGGTACTCATCAACCAACTAACACATCGAAATCGATCCAATCTACCAGTCAATCAGAAAAGCCATTGGCAAATATATACCCAAGAATCAGATCAAAGGGGATACAATCAAAATAAACAGGTAGACGATGACAGGTTAAAGATCAACAACAATCAGTCAAGATCGAGGTCGACAGGACAAGCTAAGAGTCATACGTGAAGAAATTTGAATACTTCTCTTCTACCAATGCCAATGTTCAGAAGAACGATGAAAGGTCCACGGCCAAACCACCCAGCTCATAGTAGATAAAATTAACTTGTGAATTCTTCAGTATATTGTCTTTTACATGAACAAGGTTGGTTGTGGTGTGTCTGATGTTGCATTTGTTGTGTACTCTTCCCCTTTTCATCTTATGTGAATAATCCGTTCAGAGTGACGATTATTAGAACCCATGATCTTGGGGTACTTTTTCAATCACATAAAACAGAAAATCTCAAGTTTTTAATAATAATGAATATTATTGAACCAAAGCCCAATTTTCTGCAAACAGTTGTATCTAATTTTGTAGGTGTCTGTAGTTTCCATATCCCTGAACACTTTATTTATGGTTTCTATTCATATTTATTCTTGTGTTCAATATTTTGCAATATAAGCATATTGTTTGGTTAGAAGTAAAACCCTCTTCCACTGTTAAGCTATCTTTTCGGGTATGAGTTCAATAATTTGGTCTGATAAACAGCCATTCCCGCTTACATTGTATCATCCCATACCATCTATCGATTAGAATCCCTATATATTTACTTAGTGATCCAAACTCCTCTCATAAAATCTTACTTCATAACAAATAGTAGTAAAGAGATGATGTGAATTGAAATGATATTGAAGTAATTATAAAATGACCTTAATTAAACTACTGACCAATTTTCAGTAAATTAGATTCTTCATTAAATTAGTCTTATTAATCCATATTTCATTAATAAGGAGTACAAATTACTATTTCATAGTTTCATTGAAATGTCTACATTTTAAAATATACATAAACTGGTGTAATGTACTTTTCTAATTTTTAATATTTTTTTTATGCATTGCACTTTTATTCCCTGATGAGTATATTTCTCTGTATTCCGTACGATACCAGTTTCTTTTTTTTTTCGTAATTTGTAAACAAATACGACAATCGTTCCATATTCATTGTTACTCATAATTAAGACTAGATTATATTTTTGTCAATGTATAATTTTTTTTATAAGTGGTCTTCAAGTTTTTATTTGTGAGTTTTTATTACATAACAACTTACTACTTGTTCATTTTTTGTGTATTGTTTAGCATTGATAAAGTATCTCGGATTCTTTCACCAACATTAATTATCCATGGAACTGATGATGAGATCATTGGCATAGATCATGGAAGAGAATTGTATTCTCGTCTTACTAATCCTCTTGAACCAGCTTGGATTGAAGGAGCAGGTCATAATGATATCGAATTATTTTCTGAATATGCATCTCGTTTAGATCGATTTTTTAATGAAGATATCATTGATACAGAGTATAGTGGAAGTCCTTCAAATATAATCTCTTCTGTAGAAGAATCTCTTCATGTTGAAGAAACCCCAGATCTTAATCAGAAAATATCAGATCATACGAAGTCTTTCACTATGTTTAAGAAGAATGGTATTTCAAGTTCTCAGTCATCAAATTGTGGTAATATTTCTGAGGTTCCTGATGGTGCTGCCATGGATACGGCGACATCGAGTATGTCTACAGACTCTACTTCAAGTGCAACAACTGTACAAAAACTTGAGTCCATCACTGGTGATGTCGCTGTAGGCATTTATAGTGACAATGAGAAGATTAACACAAACGGTGCAGTCACACATTCAACTAACTCGTCAGATACTTTGAACAGTAATCCAAATGGAATGCCATCTGATTCTAGCACTACTCAATTACTGAGTTAGAAGTTAATTACTTGTGGTTACTGTTGTGTGAGTATTTTGATTTTGGGTAAGTGAAGTTTTAATCAATCAAGTTTGTTAATATTGTGTTGTTCGAATTACCATGTTGCATTTGCTCTACCTTATGAGTGAATGGCTAACTTTCACACAATGAATTTGATTCGTTTTATAGTAATTGGGATTCAGTACATTGTATGTTATTGAATATATTTTTCATCTAACTGTCGGACTGAGCCACATAGGTAAATGCAGGCTACCTGGTTGTGGGGGGTGTCTGTGCGATTATCGTAACCTATGGTTACAGAGTCTGGTTGACATCGCTCGGAATCGTTCGCAATGGCGCAGTTGCATTCAAGTAAACGGAATACACCCATTAAGACTTTAAATAAGAAAGATTAGTTCAGCGAACAGTTCTCTTTTCGGCGAATTCATTTTCAAAGCTGTACAATCGCCGATATATATATATATATATACTTATTTTACAGGATGATAATAATACTGATAATAAACTTCTGTTAGATATGGTGACAGTGAGGCTAAATAAACAAAGTTATTAAAAAAATTTAAAGCAAGGAATGTTTAATAATCGTTTGGTTGTTAATGGCTTAAGTATTCATCAAAAGATCAAAAGGGAAATTATCATTGGGAAAGGACGGCTCAGCATGATAAGATAAAATATAATCAGGATGGTCGTAGAAACAAAATGAACCAGTTGGGGATAAAAGATTAAGGGGGAAGGTGGAAGGTGAAGCAGACGTCTGTGAAGGAAGAAGAGTATGGGGAAAGAGAAAAAATTATAAGACCATGGTAGAAGAAGAGGTTGTACCAGTCGCTTTTGCACACACAGTTCTGGTTTTTCTAGATGTATGGTTAATGCTTCGGTAATGCAAAGAATATGCAGTCTAATTGTCTTTCGAAGACTTCTGCTTACCTTATAGATGACTTTGAACCCAGTCTGTCTTGACTGATTGACCTGTGTTCACAAAGTGTTCGATTGTTGAACTTCTTATTGAGCCGTTGCCTCCTCTTTTTAGCCACGCCAGACAATGTTCTTGAATTCTTTTGGATAAAGTACGCATCGAACGACCTATATACCTAGCTCCACATGAGCAGGTAAATTGGTAAATACACATTGAGTTGGTCAGATGCGATAATCTATCTTTAAGATTATTGGTGAGCAATGATCGGCTGTTGAATATTATTCACAATCTTGCTGTGAGAATGTTCTTTTTAAAGAATCAGAAATTCTCCTTTTTAAAATTTATGTGACTCTGTCACCCTTGAATTCGATGTTCATGTATAAATTTTTCTTTTCTACTGAAATTATTTGCGTTTTCGGTTTTATGTCCTTACCTTGGGATGTGATCCCAGTGCTCATGGAACAACTGCTTAATAGCAGTTGTATGCAGATTTTTTGTGATGAGCTCTCCACGTACTTACAATTCCTTACCATTGTTGATGTAAATCCTAACCTCTTTTCGTTGAGAGAATGCTGATTGGTTAAAAAGACATTTTTCTACTGTTGCAGTGTATGCCACTTATGCTGATAGACATAAGAAGTATATAGCCCAATCGGAATTAAAATGCCTGGCAGTAGAAGATTGTAATGAAGAGAATAGGAAGAATATCTGGGCGCAATCGAAATAACAGAATTAGAGCAATGATGGAGTGTGTAAAGTACAACGCAATTAAGATATGCAAATGAGGCATTTAATGTATAATTTTCATATTTTACTAAACCATTGTGTGATTTTGCGTTAAACAATAAATTGGTTATCTCCTTCAAGTCCTCGTTTACTACACTGTCGTACCTCTGCATAGTCAGAATTAAGACTCCTCCTTGCATGCCATGCGTTTACTGTTTTCATCCAACGTGCCTGGCACTATAGGACCTCATAGAACGAGTGTTGGAAACAATATAGATTAATTTAGTCATTACGATATACATGCTCAATAACCATGTCAAGGTAGTAGCTACAATCGTAAATTATTACATTCAACACTGTCGAAACTTTTTCATTACATCCAAAATGAGCTTCTCGTTATTCCATTTGTATTCGGATAAACATCATAAATTAACTGTTAATTCTTGAGCTTAAGTTAAGTTTACATCATTGTCATTGTTTTAAAGTTCAAAATTTTATAAATCATACAATAAGCTGCTTGTATAATATGACTTTTTTACTAGTGTATATGTTAGTCAACAGAAGTAGAAGTAGTTAATAATCACAGTATTTCAGTATAACTATTCATTTATCTATCAGGACTGTGTATCTAATTATTTGCGTACTTTCATTGTAATTTACTAAATAAACATAAATCATATGCTGATATTGTAGTGGACGAGAACACAAGAGGGGACAACCAAATGTATTTTAATACAATATTACAGAATATCTTGGTAAAATCTGTGAACCATACAGTAGATAATGCATTTGCAAAGTATCCATCAATTGTCTCAGACTTTTTTTTCATTCGTTTCCATACTAATCACTCTCTGTTCTTATTCTTTCCTCTTCGATTTTCTCAACCTTCTGACGCCAAACATTCCACTTTCGATTAGTGATTCATACTACTTATATCTGTCGACATCAGTAGCATACACCACAATGCTATTCGTATTTCTCGAAAGTATTTATAAATTTGCAAAACCTTAATCTTTCAATTATTTTATGATAAATTATGGTAACGATATTCTGATTTAATGCAGTATATTCATTTATATTCCTACTCAAGGTGTATTTTTATTTAGCTCACTCAAAGGGAATTCTCTTGATACTATTTATATGTATACATCAATATTGTTTACGTATTATGTTTTACAATTTTCACTAGATTTATGTTTAATATACAGAGAATACTTCATCTATGTAGTTTGCGTCATTTGATTCATATTAGTAATATGAAGAGAAATTTATTCTTTTATTTTAATTTTGTCACAATGATTGTGTTTTGTACTGTGTTAATATAATGATTTAGTGCGAAAATGAAAAGAAATAATAATACACTCCTTCGAATAAGAATCAATTGATAAAATGTATTAATAAAAAAGAAATTAATGTTTACCTTGATATAATACAGCTTAAGGGATCGTAATGTACACTGTTTTGAGAGGAGTCCCACAATAAAACAAGACGGCCGTCCAGGTTTTCCATGGCGATCGAGCTTCAATGGATTCATGTTTCAACTATTTAAATTAAATTTAACTGTTATCAGTATATTTGAATAAAGACAGAACAAATATCATGACAGAATAACATGAATTCGTTTATTTCATCAATCCTCTTTAGTTGTTTACAACTTAAAACTATAGAATAAATCATTAAAATGAAATAAGTGTATACGCTTTATATTAGAAGCGTCTAGAATAAATTAAGTTAATATGTGGATCATATTTAGAGACAATAATACAGAAGAATTAACAGCGTACAAACGTTTGCTTATTTACAGACTAAATATATAACTATTCTAGAAAAGGAAGCATGGAGACAGAATTTCTTTGAAACCAAAGACATTTTATGCAGTATAGACTAGTTGAGTAATGCTCAAATTATGGTATTGGAAATTTCAATTAAAGTTTGTGGAAAAATGTCCTTACATAATAATCTCACAAAATTAAGGTCAATAGGATAAAACAAGATTTAGTACTGTTACTTGTTAGATACATGAATCGAACTGAAATATTTTCATTCGAACAGCTTCACAATTTTAACATCGTATCCATTGTCGAGCGAATGATGAACGATTACACGGTTGATATAAAATATGTACATTTGTTTTAATGATTAATATTATGGTTTTAGATCATAAACATTTGAGGAAAATGGATGAAATAGATGAATTCATGTTATTTTGCTACAATGTATATTCTTTCTAAAATCAAGTTTATAAATGGGAAAGGTTGTATTGAATGTCTATGCTTGTTTATATTTGATGACCAAATTATTAAGAATTTTATTTGACAATGTTTCAAGTATGACAAACTCAAACATTATTAGTCATTTATGTCAATTGCATTAATCATAATCAAACGTAGATCGTGTTACTGATGTGTATAAGCTCAAGTTTTCCTATCACATTAAGAAAATAAAATAAAATAGCATAACAGTCAAATCATTGTAATAACAATAATAATGATTAGAATTCAATAAAAATCTGTTGCATTCAGAACAAGTTTTCTAATCATCGCAGTAGGTCATTGTTTATTGATATGTGGATTATGATGAATTTAAAGGCTTTTCAAACTAAGTAATTGACTTCCATTTATTGAGTTGTTGTGATAAATTTGTCATTGCTCTGTGCTATAATAAGAATAAGTTATTTATGTAGGGTCAAGATTAGCATTGAAATCATGTGTGCAAATGTACTTTTGGTGATAGTTATCTGGGTTAATTGTATAGCTCTTGTTGTCGTTCTGGAAACATAATCAGCGTCCACTTTTTAAAGAGGAGCATAAACCACTTATCAAATTCCCTATCGAACTCTGTTCTGGGTAATCCTTTCAGTTACTTCCAATTCAAAAAGCAATGTATTCCTTGGTGTTCCTATTTTCCTTTTCTCTTCAGGATTCCAAATTAGGACCTGCCTCGTGATGCAGATTGATGACTCCCACAATATATGTCCTATCCACCTCAAGCTTCCATCCTAATTTCATATTTGGCTGCAAGTTGGTTTGTTCTTTGTCACAGTAGGTTGTTACTGATGGTATTTGACCAACGGATACGGAGTATCTTGCGTAGACAATTGTTCAAAAACATTTATACATTTTGATGATTATTGTGGTAGTTCTCAAAGTTTCAGCTCCATACAGTAGAACTGTCTTGACATTCGTATTGAGGATTCTGACTTTGATATTGGTTGACAGTTGCTTTAAGTTCCAGATGTTCTTCAACTGTAGAAATGCTGCTCCTATTTTGTTAATCTTGACCTTCACGTCTGTATCAGATCTCCTCTGTTTATCGACGATGCTGCTCATGTATGTATGTATAGGTTTCCACCTTCAGAATTTCTCCATCAAGTGTGATTGGATTAGTGTTCTCGGTGTTGCATTTGAGGACCTTACTTTTCCCCTTGTGAATATTGAGTCGTACTGCTTCAGAGGCTAGTACTACACTAGCTGTATCCATCTGCATTTGTTGGCATGTATGTATTGTAAGAGCTAGGTCATCTGCGAAGTTCAAATCGTCCATTGTATTCTGTGCTTCCTCTTAAATATGAAGGTTTTCATAATCTCACAACAACCACTAGGAGAATATAATACTACCTAAAATTTCCAAATAAATAGTATATCTCGATCATTTAATTTGTCTTACTTTTAAAAAGTGTTTGTTTTATTTTTTTTTTAGAAAAACATTTAACTTCTATTCATGCAATCAGCATGGATATTAATGGAACTTGCAGTTATCAATAATCTTTTGCATTACACATAGTAATGAAAATAATAATAATAATAATGTATTTCTATTCTAATGTTACATTTCCACAATTGTTTTCGTAATTTCTTATGATTATTACACATATTTACTTGTTATTATTATTACTATTATTGTTGTTGTTGCATTTCAACGTTTGTCTGCTGCCAATCTAATTGTAAATGAAATCAAATAGTTGACATTTCGTATTATTTTTTTTTCAAAAATATTTGTTTAAATGTGTTACTGTTTTCCATTCCTTTCAATGATACTTTGTTCATGTTGTCAAGTTGTCTTTTTTTTTGTGTATATGTTCTGTTTGTGCATTTCTATGATCTGGAAACTAAGGAAACAATGTAAGTATTGTTGTGTTTGGTAATCCTACTTGTTTGTTTTAAATGTTGACTATATCTGTTTGTTTGTTTGTTTTCTCTTAAATTTACTCATTTTTTTTTATTATCTCTATAATTAATTTACCATAAATGTAAACTAATGTTTACGTGTTAAATTATGCTCAATATGTTGTTCATTGTCAAATTCACTGCATATTTATATAATGATGAATAAACTAATGCGTTTATGTGTATTGATGTAATTGATGAATTTTATATGTGTATCATTGTTTTATTGAACCTTAATGACTTACACTTTTTTATAAATTGTATTCTTCATAGACTTTGAATAGAATGAATTTTGATGGTTTCTACTGTTTGTTTGATTATTTCATTTGTTTGTTTGTACTTTTTTCTCTATTGTATGCTTCTTTTCATTTTCTCTTCATATTGTCATTTATGTTCCATAGTTATGTCTATATGCTATTGGTTTTAATTTTTGTCTGATCTTTTTTTGTTTTAGGTTATGAATATGTACCAGTTTAGTTATACTTGTTACTTAATATTCTATCATAAATTGTATTGTTAGTTTTATTCTCTTTACTCTCTTGTATGTTTAACAAGTATACATGTGTAGTAATTTATTTTATTCTAAATGTTTATAATTGAGTTTGTTCTTCTCTGTTTTTATGTAAATGAGTGAAGGAAGCAATGGAGGATCATTACTGTTGTCAGGTTTTTATTCTTTTTTTAAAAAAATAATATACATTTAATCAACTAAAAGTTCGAATTTTAGTTATCTAAAAGAGTTTGTTTAGTATTAAATAGACTAACTTAAGAGGTTTTTATAGTAATATCCATCTCACTATTCGTACATTTATTATGGTTAACTGTAATCGAGAATTCTCACCGGTATTTACTATCATCTGAAAATTATAGACTGCACTTTGTTAATATCCCGTTATAAAACTGAAGCTTTGGTTTTATTGTAAATTCATTTGCCTATTAACCTTTAGGCTTCTTTATAGTAAAATCTTTGCAGGAATTTCCATCTTCTCATTGAAAAACCAGTTATAAGTTTGTGAAGTTTTAGTATACTCGTCAATCAGCCAAACTCTTCATTAAATCTTTTTATTATAACTTGTGACCGCCGATTAGAGAGCAGTGTCTTATCGATCGGAACAATGACGCGTAAACACGTGCAAGCAGTCCAGAGTCCTGATTAGTCCTGCTTTCCGCCTAGCCCAGCCAGATAAGTCCAGAACAAGTCTCAGCCTCTGCGATATGAATCATTATATTTCAAACATACTCTGTTTGTATACTAATCAAGCAGACCACATCCTACCATAAAATAGAAAATAACATTTGTACAATATATGGCCAACAGAAAATGACACGTAAAATAAATATTGACCAGTAGGGAAACGACGCGTGGAATAAATATCGACCAATAGGAAAGTGATACCGTCTCAAGTCCAAGGATAGCACTAGACTTAACAGAATAATTTTTGGGATATTTTTCTGAATATCCCAACACGTTTTTTGCTCATGACAAGGACCATCGGTCCCTCGGTAAGTGATTTTATAAACTCTTAGTACTGCCGATGTAAGACTCGCTATTTGTGATGAAAACGACCTTTGCGAAAGGGTAGTAGTATGCAACTGAAGTACTATGTAGGCGCTTTTTGATTACTTTTGACATTTTCTCGATCGCAATGGCACTAGTAATAAATCCGAAATACGTAATTGAACTTTAGGAAGTAAGAATCTTTCTGGGTACAGTCGAACCCCATTTCCCAATGTACTTATAAACTCTTGGACTTCTTTGTCTAAGTTCATTATTCAGACCTCGCATAATGATTATAACATCTGGGTATAATGCAGCCACATTGACGTTTCATATCGCAGCACCCATTATCTGTTGAAAGATAACTGGGCAATTTTAACTCCAAAAGGCAATAAGTTACATTCAAATAACCCTTTCTATGTGTTGAATATGAAACGTTTGTGGTTTTACAGTGAAACTTCCACCGGTATATGTGCATCGCTGATATTTAATTTCGCGAAATATTTTTCATCAACTTATCATGCACGTCTTTAATTACAGGTTGCAGATGAGGGTGTTCCAGAGAGACATTTAGATCAGTTGAAATGTCAGCATATATACTAATGTCATGAGTTTCGTGCTCGATCATCACTGTTAGTGTCTTCCAAGCAGAGTATATCACAAGAGCGATAACTCCAGAGTGCTTCATTTCTCTATCAGTTTCTGAAATGCAACATAATGTACTGGGTGTTTCGTAAAAAAGTTATGCTGTTTGGATTTGATTGGGAAGCAGCTAGAGTTCTTGCTCAGCAGCTCACACCTTTAAACAGTTGAGAGGACCTTGATTTGATTTTTCGTGTCATCTTTATCGTCGGAGGTTTCTGTATTTGCAGACATGTTATTCAGTAATTGAGAATGTAGATTTAGTATACTGTCAATCAACCTCAAGTGAGTCCAAGTTTATTTCGAAAATACAACATGATTTAGCAGTGCTTTCACCTTGATATGTAAAGCTATAGTGTAGCAATATTTCTTGATACAATAATACACCGCACGAATTTCTAACAGCCTGAGAAATTTTCCGACTTGTCTAGACGTCTCCAAGCTTGCTTACGTCTCTGGCTAATAAGGCCAAACATGGCGATGCCATTCTCCTCATTCCCCCTGAGATACGATCAATGGTAAGAAAGGACATACGATGCACATCCGTTGAAATAATGTACGGAACAATTTTAGAGCTACGTGAACAACTTATTAGTCACTACAACAAACTACATGGAGATGCAATAACTATTACAAGCAGTTTACTACAAACTATGCAGCAACTACAGTCGATACCACTGTAAATACCTAAGTGCTAATATTTGGCTTGAAAGCTGATATGATAGTAAGAAGACAAAATTCGGTTGATTTATTAGTTACGAGTTTTGTTCAACATTACTTCCGTTCTAATTCAATGTGATGATCATTCAGTGTAGTCTTTGTTTTCTTTTCTCGTATGATATTTTATTCTGTGTTATTATTATTTTAACGCATAGATATTGGTACAAAGAGGCACCAAATACATATGAGCCACACAAATCTCGTTTGATATGTGTGAGGGCTGTGATACTGCCCGGGTGCCCAGACCGAAGCAGGTGGTCTTCTTAGGGGGCCACACCCGGAGTCTTCGACCTAAAGGTACGATCCACAAGGCTGTGGAGCGTCGTCAGGAAATGTAGTCTCATGGAAGCCGGTGACCAACGATTGGTTCATACGCCTTTTGGTTCACTCTGGATCCTGCAGCCCATGTGCACCATTGTTTTGGAATCAGGGTTTTCCAACTCCATGTGGACTCCCCATGTCCACCTACCCGGATAAAGTGCCGGACATTCGCTTTCGGTCCTCTCAATTTCGTAGACAACACATTCGCGACGAGAAGGCAATCTGTAGGACTTCCTAGGCGGGGGCTATATACGCGTGGCCGTATGAGAGCATTTTGAGAGGGAGAGCGGACTCTCCCACTCTCGGGGAAAGTATTCCATTGAAATGAACTGTGCTCAGCATGTGATTTTTTATAACTCTATGTATTTTTATATATGTGATTTTATCCTAATTATTAATTATATTGTGTGTACAGTCAATACGTAAACGAGTGCATTTTTTGTTATCGTTGTAGTCGTGTTCTGGGGTTAATAAATCTTCTTTTATATCAGTCTTGTGTTCTTATTTCGCGTTGTGGAAGTTGCGGAGGTCCCTCGTTCCGATTATAGGTGATAAGCATGTAACAGCATCGGACCGTAACTACACAATCCTCAAAGCTGAACACGAGACTACTCGGAAAAATAGATATTCAATATTTAACGCGTAGAAATACCTAGCGATGGAGAAGGCGGGAACAAGGAGTTAAATTAATTGGAGTTGATCGTATGGCATGGCTCGGCCTTGCAGGCGTGGTCCTTGCTGAATGTTATCTTATATCTTTTATTCAAATTAAATATATTGTTCTATCTCTAGCTTAAGCTTGTTCTACATCATGTATTGGTGATTGTTACGATACGAGTTGGTGTAGACGATGCTATGACTTCTACGTAAGATCTTAGATATTAGGCAGTTATATCATGACAAATTTACAATTTTAGGATTAGGTCTATTATTAACGCAGTACTTATATCATAGTAGACCATAATTCTACAAGTGTTTCCGACACGACAATCAGTGACGACCACATATAAAAAGTAGCACTAAAAGAGCCAAGACATTCAACATTCAATCCACAAGTTATAAAAAAACGAAACTAACGAACCAATGTTTATTCGATTGGTCCAGACTACGTTCTTCCGTGTAGCGTACGAAGGCATTTGCATACTCGCACTTATCAACCCATCCTCCTGGCCATGAACTGCGAGTGATTGCGTCATTGACCACAAGTACCACATCACCTTCCAGTTCTCGCACTTCTGTCGTACTCAAATCAAACCTCGTTGAAGGTGCTAATCGTCGGTTTCGCTAAGTAAATACGACATATCTCATTGTCATCAACTACGCCACCAATCTGAATTCGGGTGCACGTACCTATAAACTCCTTTAGTTTATATTAACAAGCAATTTATGGAAAATTAGGATAAGTGCTTTCGAACGAGGTGGTTTTATCTGAGCTACAATGAAGCTCCGTGCTAGACGACGACGTAAACCGAAGTCTTGTATAGTAGATTGTTCACCGAAGTAGGGAAGTGAGAATCTTTTACCGCTTCTATAATGATGTTACTGGTTATTGTAGCATTTATTCTTGATAATGTTGAAGGGAACGTGCTAAAATCCACGCCTGCGTCTACGAGAAATTCTGTATCACAGATGTTGTCCCGAATAAGTAGACAGCCATTTTTGTGTCCAGAAACAGTCGTTGCTATAACAGACCGAGTGGTATCTTCCCCTGGATATAATCGACATGTCACTTAGATTCGCTAGGTCTTGTGGATCCCCATGACTTGTTGCCGTAATTTTCATACTTGATACATTATTATGAGGTTCTATTAGCTCTGCTGTAATTAAGAAAGGTCACTAGTTTATGAAAATCCAACTTCCTATCGACAAATGAGATCGATTCAGAAATATAAGAAAAACTGTAATACTCAAGACGTCGGGAATTTTCAAAGACCCCATTTTAATTAGGGGATGATATTCAAAACATTTTTGGTCTACTTACTCCTGCCACACATAATTAGTGAATAATAAATCTAAACATTGATGGTGAAGAATGCGTCAGTGTCGTACGTACTTCCACTGCACATGACAGACACTCGACAGTGCAACACTCAATTGGGATTTCTATCCCGAAACGATTAGTGAGAGATACGCCAAGTTGCTGCAGCAGTGACTGATGACCTAGACGAAACCATTATTGTCTTAAGCAGTTATAATATAGACGCTGCGACTGATGGGAAATGGATGACGCGAAAACATAGAATAGAAGGAGAGATATCCAAAAACAGCACTTTTTTAGTTGAAAAGTCATCGATAGGCTCACATTCTGCGTTGCAGGTTACTTCTTCAAAATTCTAAAGTAAGATAATATTTAACCCTATCGTAGATTGTAAATTTTTGGCCTCATCAGTCATTGTCATGAGCCATTCGCTCGATTCCCACGACCCTGTTACAAAAAAACTAACGGTAATTTGCCAACAATTAACATTCAGGATCTGACATCACAGCCATGACACACGACTTTAAAAGAAGTTAAACCAGTTCCTAGTT